CGGCAGTGAAGCATTGGTGTTGAAAACTGATGTCATGCTGTCCTTGATGATGATGATGATGATCCTTCCCAATTTCCTTCACTTAACAGTCCACTGACAGTGCCGTATTTATGCACCAATTTATCAGCTTCCGCCTCCAATGCGCAGCTACCTACCCCACCTCCCCAAATCATCGGTGAACGGAACTGTGGTAACTACAACCATTGTACACCAAGTACTCGGTTCTTACAGCTGACAATGATTATGGTGAATCTGGCAAGGTTATTGATCCAGCTGGATCAACCACATATTGTGAATGGGCAGGCTGAAAGGCGGAGGCACATAGCTGCATACTTCAGGAGGCCGTTTCTCGATCGTCAAACGGGGACAGGCCCTGTTACGTGCAGCTTTGTCTCTATCTCGGTTCTGCACTGGTTTTAGTCAGTTCACCAGTTGTCTAAATGCTTCATTACCTGACAGACAACATTGTTCCCCTTTTGGGAGAAAGCAGGAAACGCAAGCGTTACTTGAAAAGCCGACCGACATCTGCTTAGTGCCCAAAAGGTGTAAAGTAATACTGTATTATGTCCAGTTGCTTAACATATCCCTAGCAGCTCAAGGAGTTATACTGGGAGTTGTGGAAGACTGTACGTATCTCAGAAGTTGTGGTAAACGAAGTAAACGGACATATATCAAAGTTCAGGATTGCGTTTGCCGTTTGGCGCCACCTGTGATACCAAAAAGACATTGCTGGATCTCATACAGCGCTTATTTCGGACTACAGTGCAGGCTATATTTCCGTAACGTTGTCAGACTTGGCCACTCCGGGTAGAGGATCTGAGGTATCTTCAGGTCTTTGATCACCGATGTCGCAGAACGGAGTCGGTTGTAACCACAGATGGTTAGGAGAAGCGGGGCGAGATGGCTCAAGTGGTTAGTGCGAATTTACTGACCGAAAGATCTGTGGTTCAAACCCGACTTCTGCCTCTTCTTCCCCTGTCTAGGCTTGGTCATTCTGGCAGTATCTCATCCCCCGTGCTTCCTTCGGGTAGCATGGCAGCTAGGCACTGGAAGGGTTACAGCTGAACGATGGGAGAAAGGTTTTCGGTGGAGTGGGTGGTACTTCACTCATGCACGCATCCAGAAGTGCAAGCCGAGTTGTCTCGGCCACGTGTTATCCTTGTGGAAACGGACGTTGCTTTTGATGCCCAGTTTGGAGTGGCAGGAGCCCAGAGGTGGGCAGGACCCTACATGACAGAAGGGAATGAAGGATGTTACTAAGGCTTTGAGTTCTGTTGATGCTGTTTGCCTTCCAGGATGAATTCCACCAAGCCGTCCTGGTGTTTCGCTACCCGATGTCAGTGGCGTTCGTGCTGTCAGTGTGGGCACCTCAGAGGATGTAGGCTATACCCAGGTCCTCTTCCTGTCCCACTTTCAAGTTCAGTTCAGATAAATTGACATGGCTCTATGGCAGTGAAAGGGGGTGAAATGGATCAGTTGTTAGAGCGCAAAATTTACTGATCGGAAGGTCCGTGGTTCGAACCTGACTTCTGCCTCTCTTCTTCCGCTGTCTAGGCTTGGTCAACCTGGCAGTATCTCAGCCCTCGTGCTTCTTTCTGGTGGCATGACAGTTGGGCACCGAAAGGGTGCTAGAGCTGCTTGATACGATTACTGTTGTAGTGAAGCACCAGTGTTTACTGCTGTTGCTATCAGTAATGGTAATGATTGAGTGCTTGGGAGTTGTTCTTTCAACGAGGTCTTCAACTGGCGTTACAGGCACAGACAGGGAAATATTGCACATACTCAGTTTTTATGATTGAATAAAGGGTGAACTCTTTTCACCTCTTTTGTTAAGGCTCAGTGGTATGTTGCTTGCTCTGATTTGGTGCTGGTGTAAACCTCCAGCTTTTTATCTGAGAAAACCATGCCATTCCGGGCAGGAATTTCAATTGTCTCGTATTTTTCGCGCCGTCACTATTCTCCGACAGTGATGTGATACCGGCGATAGGCGAGGGTAAGAGCCGCAAGACTCGCTATGTAAGTCAGGAGAGTAATCCATCCGATAAACCCAGGTGAAGCAGAGTCAGCTAGTATCACACCCCGCAGTCAGTGGTGTCTAGAGCTCGGAATTCTGAGCAATCAGCCGCTGTTGAAACTTCAAGCATTTCTACAACATTGGACTCAGCCGTGGTGGGGTTTGCTGACGGTTCTTAGCTTCTTGCTCCGCCCACTATGGTACATCAATAGGTACGATAGCTTGAGACAACCCTTTATGAAAGCGAAGGATTATTATAACCTTATTTAATGGGTCACCACAGAATGTTCCACAAGGTCGCACGAGGGTCTTTCTGAGGGTCGAGAAGCGTCAAGCTATCCATGTCCGATCCAGATTGGCTGATCTTCTGGCCAACTAAGACATGCTGTCGAATAATTTTCAGCAGCCTTGTTGGTAGTGCATTGCGAATATAAATTTATCGCTATATCTCGAATATCGTAGCGACTGAAACATGAGACGGCCTGGTGCAGTACATTCAGTTGCCTGGAAACACCACAAACGAGAAATTCAGCTGGGTTCCAGGTGAATCTGTCGCAGAAACCATATTTCTTTGCAAATAAGTGTATTTCACTAAGGCATGCTTTCGTTTGGTTCGTAGGCCGCACGTGACATCTGTCCAATAGACGCGATATTCGGTTCGATGCGGCTAACCTGTCCAGCTCACCAAATGCGAAGTGGTTTTAACCCAACACGGATTTAAATCCGTCCATTTTTACTCTTTTTCAGGATGTGAGAATCTTTCCATCGAAGGACTAAACGTAGTTTGATCATATTTTGAAGCGTTCAGCTGTAGCACCCTTCCGGTGCCTATCTGCCATGCCACCCGAAGGAAGCACGAGGGCTGGGATACTGCCAAGTTGCCCAAGCCTAGACAGGGGAAGTCAAGTGGCAGAGGTCGGATTCGAACCACGGACCTTCCGGTCCAGTAATTCGCGCTCTAACCACTTTGGCCATCTCGCCCCTCATATTTTAATGTGGATTATATCTGAAAGATGAAAAGCTTCTCGGATAGCTGAGATGCTGCAGATGTTCAGGATAGTTTTAAGGTTTGCGGACACCCTGATGCCAAATCCCTTTACTGGGTCCTTTGCCGTTAACTAGTTTCTGCCAGTGTACAATGAGATAGTGTATGTAGTAAAATGGTTGAACAGTGTCGCGTTCATGAGCTTCGGATTACAAACTTACTGTCGTCCTCTGGAGTCCTGACGTTGTCGGTGGTTTTGAACTGGGGTCTGAGAATACAGTCTTTGGACTATCGGGCAGACTGTGTCGTGTGGCACATTCGATTTTCCCCCTTAAACCCATGAGGGCACGAAAAGCAATAAAGAGGATGTCGTCCGTAGAGTCTAGTCTTGAAGCTATTTTTGTGTGATCCAGAGGACGGCCCTCATCGTTTCTGAAACTTTCTTATCAATATCCTTGGGTGCATTTGCTCTGCTAAGTTTCTTACTGTATGATAGCTTACCCTGAGAACGTACAAACCGGTTTATGGAGTGCTGCAGATTTCAGTTATGAATGGTAGACGCTCGGTTTATCTATTTTTTTCACACTCAGGTGCAAACTATGAGGCTGTACGGGAAATGCGAGACGTTGAACGGAACGGCCATTAAAACTGTTCGACTGAGACAACCCAACTCACAGAATTCGCTGTAACTGTCTGGCTGCTGAACTGCATTCCTTCGGTACCCTCAACAAGTTTGAGACCAGTCGGAGTAGTGTGTCGCTTTCGGATTCAAAGTTTACCGAAGGGTGTCACTTAAGAGCCAACTACTGTCTAGCTATTTCATGAAGATGGCCCTGTTGAGCACAGCTACTTCCTCTCGATCCATCCGTTTTACCTTTATTCGACTTCCGAACTAACTAATTGAGGGTAATCGAAGTTCACACAAATCTTCAATACCCTATACCAGCACCGGTAAATAAAAACTCGTATGATTTTGCAGCACCCTAGCAGAACATCAATAAGAATCTGTTTTTCGTCAATGTTTTCCACTCTCATAGCCTTTTCTGGCTTAGTTCTTTTTTCATTGTGTTTCTTACCTTTCCCAGGTTGTTTTATTCAGAGGATTATGCTGCGTGATGGAGACCAGTCGAACATTCTGGGCGGTAACTTATATTTTGCTCAGACTTATTTTCTAGGTGTTGTGGCCTTCGTCGATGTAAAATCTTCTCTAGGCAACCCGGCGCTCGCCATATCTTCTCGGTTGAAAAATCTCGGTGCTGAAGTAGTCCATTCTTTGACGAGCACTGTAACACATGTGATATTCCGCAATGGTTCTGAACTCACGAAACAGTGGGCCAGAAAAAGGAGAGTTCGGCTGGTTTCACCTCTGTGGGTAAAGGCATGCTGCACTCACAACGTAATCACATTCACTTGTCACGCAGCAATGCTGTTTCTTCCCTAGGTAAGAGTTGGTGAAGCTGCTTATGCTTGTCGAGAGGATAACAGCATATGTTTGAACGACTCAAGTGAAACTTCACAGCCCCCGAAACAAGCTGACTTAGCGCTTCCTCGTAAGCAAATTGAAATATGCCTTCTACGTTGCCTACGAAAACCAAAAGACTTGGGAGGAACTAAATTTGCTATCTTGGTTTCTATTTTTCTATCAAGCCAACAATTTGGTCAAGAGAGTAAGAAACAGTCTGAAGCTCCCTTCTCTGGATATTCCCAAACATGTGCACCAGTTCTTCCAACGGATTGAGCGGCGGAAGCAGCAGGGTCCAACTGGCGTCGATGTGTTTTCCAGCAGTGAATCTTCAGGTGATGAGGAAAACTCTAAGACGGAAGTCGATCCCGCTCGTTTTTCGTTGGATCGACCCACTCACCGCAGTACATGTAGGTGTTTTAGCATCATTAGTTTCATATTATGGACAGTTTTTTTCTTCCAGTTCTCTCTTTCCTTCGCATGCAGCTCTGGTTACTGGTGCGGGGTGACAGCACAGCTGTTTTTTGTCATTTTTGGCAACTCAGTGGTCAAGTACGAGCTTACTAAGCTGAAAATCCGCGGTTCGAACCCAACCTAGGCATTTCAACTGCTCCTTTCCAGGCTTCGCCAGCCTGTCAGCAGCTCTACCCTCGCGCTCCCTCCGGTTGGCATGGCAGCTGTGTGTCATCATTGCAATCATCATCATTATCACTATCAGAGATAGCAACATTAGTGTTGACACTGATGCTTCACTGCAGTTATGCGCTGAAAGTGTGTTGCGACTGAACGATTGTTGCTATTATTGTTGTTATTATTATTATTATTATTATTATTAAATCTGTCAGTAACGCGTCCGCTACACAACTTCCAAAGACCCGAACGAAAATGAATAAATTACTCATGTTTTTATCTGAGTAGGTGCACTGTTTGGGCGAACTGAGATTATGATTTTTGAGGTTCCCGTATAGGTCACCCTTTCTGGTTCTGTCACTGGTTTAGTTGCACTGTCCCTAATGCAAAGCCTTCTCGTAATTGGCTACCAAGTTCTGAGATCCAAACAGTTTTTTTCCATCTATGGTAGCGTTCATTTGGATGAGAGGCATCATAAGCACACTGACTTATGGCGCCCAACATTTAGTTGTGCAACTGTTTCGCGGCTATCAGTTTTCACAACCCAATACAACAACAGGATAACACGTAATTTTATGTGGTTTGTGTCGTGCCCACTAACAAACGATGGTTTTTCACGAGATCGAATCTTAGAGACAGTCAAAAGTGCCTTTTTTATTTCTGACATTAAAAGCCCTTGTGATGCAATGCCGCAGTAAACTAAAACGGTGTGGGTGGACACACGTCAACCGTTTGCAGTAACCGTTTCCTGTTCTTGTGATGCTGCTTCTGTCGTTACAGTCATCATGAGACTTGATGGGTGCTTTTTTTAAACATATTCAATGATCTATCATTGGCGACGCATGATAACCCGACGCAGCTGATGCTAAACACGTTTTTCTTCCTGAATTACATGGCCGCTTCATTCAGTCAGCTACACAAACGCACCATCGATTGTATGAATTTATTGCCCATCGCAAGTATTTACATGTACTTTCTCGTCATGTACTTGGTTGCTTCTCGTCTGCTGTCAGATTGTTTGATTAGTCATTCAGCTGATGCTGTGAACCACTTCCCCTTGCCTGGTCAAGGACACCTTGTTGGATGGGTGGTGTAGTTCCATGCAGATTCAATAATTGAAAATATTTTCCCTTTTAATCTGTCTACTTGCAAATCCAAGGTTTATCGTCTGGCAAATGCCAGTGTTTCCAAAGTGCATGAGTTTCCAGCAGTCTTGGGCAGTCGTTCCTTCTTTTATCACTAGTGTTGCCCAACCCTGTTAGAGCTACGGGAACAGTTGTCAGAGAGAAGGAGCATTGGGCGAATAAGTCACCTCATGACTTGTGTTACTTAAGCCGACGTAAACTATTTGCACATATATGCTGTTAGTTTATTTAACTGGTCTACTGCATTCATATATATATATATATATATATATATATATATATATATATATATATATATATATATATATATATATATATATATATATATATATATATATATATATATATATATATATATATATATATATATATATATATATATATATATATATATATATATATATATATATATATATATATATATATATATATATATATATATATATATATATATATATATATATATATATATATATATATATATATATATATATATATATATATATATATATATATATATATATATATATATATATATATATATATATATATATATATATATATATATATATATATATATATATATATATATATATATATATATATATATATATATATATATATATATATATATATATATATATATATATATATATATATATATATATATATATATATATATATAT